GGGGGGGGTGTGTGCGCCGGGCCGGGCGGAACCATGCGGAGGCGCTGGTAGGGGGGCGCGGGGAGGGGGTCGGTCGGGTCCGCCATGGCCGCGAACTGCGCGGGGGCCGCGGGGACGGCGGGGGGCGGCGGGGCCGCGCTGGGCTCGGCCCTCAGCGCCAGCAAGACCAAGACCAAGAAGAAGCACTTCGTGTGCCAGAAGGTGAAGCTGTTCCGGGCCTCGGAGCCGCTGCTCAGCGTCCTCATGTGGGGGGCGAACCACACGGTGAGAGCGGGCGGCGCGGGCACCCCCCACACACACACACACGCTGCCCCCGTTCCCCCCTCAGAGCCGGGAACACGCCCGGCACTGACCCCCGGGAACGGGGCCTCGCCCCCTCACACCCGGCCTTGCCCCTGATCCCCTTCGTCCCCCCCATCTCCCTGATCCCCCTTGTCCCCCTCATACCCGGCCCTGCCCCTCAGCAGGTGCCCAAACCCCCCCAGGTCAGACCCTTCCCCTCTCCCCCTCAGCCTGGGCCTTTTCCCCCACTCCTCCCTCCCCACGGCAGCTTTTGCCCCCCACACCCTCTCTCCCCTTAAATCCCAGCTTTCCCCCTTTCCGTGCCATCCCTGATCCAGCCCCTCCCTGGGGTCTGTTCCCGGTGGTGCCTTTCCTCCTGGGGCTCCTTGCCCAGAGCATCCCCGTCCCCAAACACTTCGGGGTCAGGGGTCCCTCCCAGACACGTCCCTTTGCCCCCCACACACCCACCCCCGGCACCTTTTCCAGCACCTCTTCCCACCGCCCCTTTTCCCAGGGATGGGGATGGGGAGCGATGCTTTTTTCGGTGCTGTTGCCCTGTCACACCCCCCTCTGTGGCAGCGGGGGGACCCTGAGGACGCTAATTTGTCACCCACAGCCCTGTCCCCTGTCCCAGCCCCTGCCTTCCCACCCTGTGGCTGTCACACACCCTCGTGTCACAGCCCGGAGGGGACACCCCTGCTCCTCACTTGGGTAATTATGTGTGTTATCTCCATCCCGAAAAAGAAAGGGCTTTTGGCTCCATCTGTCCAGCCTTGTGTCCCTTCGATTCCAGGCTTCAGCTTCCCGTTCTCAGGCCATGCCTGTGCTCTTGGCCTCTGTTCCTGTGGGAGCCAGTTTTAGGAGGGAGGTGGGAGAGGGTCCCTCGGGAATGTCTGTGCTGGCTCAGCTCTAATCCCCCTCCTTTGGCAATTCCTAAGGCCATCCTTATGTTTTCTCTGGAATATTCTGTGATGTCAGGCACAAATTCGTGCTGGAGAGGAGGATTCATTCCTGGATGTGGGTGCTGGATGCTGTTCTAGGTGGTCAGAGAATCCAGAAGCCTCATCCCTTCCTGAATTAATCCACTTTTAGGGCTCAGACACACCTATTTCTCCAGTGGATTAGTGGATGTTTCCTAGAGAGTGAAAGGGATTTGGGCTTAATATTATTTTTTTTTCCAGAAACAAATAACACACCAAAAAAAAGATCAGACTTGCATTCCTGGCTTGCCTGGCTGGAGTGAAAGCTTCCAAATGTAGTTCAGCACGGAGTCAAAGGATGTTCCAAGTGCTCAAAGCCTTGCCCAGGAAGCAGGATAATGAGTTTAATCAGGCTTTGATCTGTGGTGCCATTAGAAGCCCTGAAGAAATGGAAATTGGGGGGATTCTTTGGAGTTCCATCCCTGGCCTCTTAGGGACAGTTGTTGCTCGGTGGAAATTAGTCTTTTTTGGGGGTTTTTTTGTGTGTTTTGTGGTTGTTTTTTTTTGTTGTAGCTGTCTGGGTAGTCAGAGCCTGGCAGGGATTTGAGGCCCTGGATCAGGACAGTGGAACTTTGGGAGCACTTGGCTGTGAAATATTTGGGCAAAGGGAGGAACCAAGGCGACACTAAGCTGGTAATGAGATTATGTGGGATGTGTATTAGGAAGAAATTGCTGCCAGAAGGAGCCAGGGTATCCTGAGGGGCTGGGAAGGGGGGTGAGAAAAGTTCAGCTGTGACCTCCTCACCCTTGGATAGGCATCCAGGATTTCCCAGTAAATCCCTCCACCTCTCTGCCACGGTTCTCTGGGCTTGGGTGAGTCTCTGAGTGCCCAAAAGGGGCTGCTGGGACAGAGCTCTGAGCTGAGGTGGCTCCACTGACTCACCACCAGCAGCTGCTCATCCTGGGCTGTGTCTGGGAGATGATCCTGGTGCCCTGGTTATGTGGGAATTGGAATTCTGTGCTTCTGGGTTTGGACTGCGTGGAAATAATTTCAGGGACACCTTTAAACTTTGTTACAGGTCTTCTGGGGGGTTGTTTAACGTTTGGCTCCTGGAGCAGAGCTGGACAAGGAGGGGTGGGTGAGTCTCTTGGCTGTGTCCCTGGAGTTCTGCCTTGGGATCCTTGGAGTGGGAGGAGGAGAAAACAGCTCTCAGCACAACCCCGGGGCTGTGCCAGCGAGAGTCTGTCAAAATTACTTGCCTCTGAGATGAACTTTTTCACAGACAAATCAAACAAACAACCATTTTGTGCAATCCACTGGAGAAATTCCCGTGGGTCCATTATCCGAGTCTGGCAGCAGCTCGGCCTTGCCTTTAAACAGGCTCGTGAGCAGCTGGTGTGAGCACAGGCAGGGGATGGGTCTGGAGAGGATCAGGAGCACCCCAAGAACAGCAACTGGTCTCTGGAACAGCAGTTTTGGAGTGTTGGAATGAGGAGCTGGGTCTTGGCTGTCCCGGTGCTCCCCGGCCAGCGTTTGGATCGGGATCAGGGTGGGGCTGTGGCCTGTGTTAGTGGGGCCAGACGTGGGTGGTATTAGTCAAACAAGGACATTTTGGGCTAGAAAAATTCAGGGAGGGGAGGGGAGAGAGGGAAATGCAGCCACAGAGGCTCACCCTTGACTTCTGAGCTTTCTGTAGCACACTAAACCCAGCAGACGTGGAGATGGTTCCCGGGAAGCTTCGCTCGCTGTCGTCATGGCACTGGGAGAGGAGCTGCAGCTCCTCGGGGTTGGATGTGTGTGTTTGCTGCTCCATCCCTGCCCTGGATGGGTCCCTGTGCAGGGGATGGGAGAGCTGGGATGGTTCTGGAAGGGAGCAGCTGTCTCCCACCCAGCAGGGTGAACCCAGTGTTGTGTGGTGCTCTGGGAACCATGGAAACGGTTGTGAGGTGCCGGTTATGGGAGGCACTGGGATCCCAGGGAGTTTGGGGAGTGGCTCCTGGATCTGTTGGATAAATGAGCAGTCGAGTTGGCCAGGCTGTGATGATGCTCCTCAAGGTGCCAGTTCAGCTGGAAAGGCTCCCTGTGGCTCTGGATGCTGGCAGGGGCAGGGGGTGGCATAAACATCCCGTTTTTGTGGAAAGGGGGAGATCTGTTGGCCGTGTGGACCTTCCCTGAGGCAGCCTCCTGCGCTCCAGAGGCTCCAGATTCCTGGCTGGAGCAGCAGCCCATCTCCCAGGACCTTTAGGAGTGGTGCCAGAGCACAGCTCGTTAGTATTCTAGGGAAACAGCAGAACTGGGATTTGCAGCTCGCTCCTCCCTGCTCAGCAGCGTTGGGCTTGGTGTTGCCATGTTAATTGTAGCCAGAGCAGCATCTGCCACATATCAAACGCTCAAATCCCATAAATTGGTCCTGGCACGGTGGGAACAGCCTGGATCTCTCCTTCCCAAACCCCACTGTCTGCCCTGGCTCTAATTGACCTCTGGAGAGAGCAGCATATGGCCATGACAGCCCTGGTAATGACCGAGGCCGTGGCTCTGAATCCGATCCCAGTTAAATCAGGATTCCAGGAGCCCTTTCCCTTGCTGGCCGTGGAGGGAAAAGGAAGGTTTTCCTGGGTAGTTCAGCCAGGAAAATGGGGCTGGTTTCCCTGCTCTGCCACTGGCTGGTGTGGCCATGGGTGGGTCACTGAACCTTCCCATCCCTCAGGGTTTTTTTAGGACCAAGGGAAGCAATGGCTCTGCCCACCTGGACTGGGAGATGGTTCCCATGGTCCTGGAGCTGACAGGATGGGTGACAGGAGGGTGGCACTGATTCCTCTGCCAGGGCCCCTTTCCACAGGCTTCCAAGCACTTTATTTGGGAAGGGGTGGGTTTGTTGTCACCAGGGGCTGCTTTTTTTTCCCCCTCTCTTTCATCCCAGTGTCCCCAGAGCACTGGCAGGAATTATTGACTACAAGATTCATGCTCCCCTAGCGTTGCATGGGGGGGTTGTTAGCATGGATACTGATTAATCATGCTCTAATTCATGGAAAACAGGCTTTTTTCCCTCAAACCATC